GGGAGAGTTTTGCTTGCTCTGAGTGTGAGATCATGCCCTCAGTAATTACAGTGAGCATGCAGTGAAAATATGTGGTGCATATAATGTCAGGAAATCATGCAAATTTTATTATTGTCGGTGAAGTGGTGGCTGGTAGAGAACTTGTCAGTATTTGCAACTTGAAGCCTAATTACCTTGATTTACTTGTAGTGCCATTCATAACCTTGCTGCTGTGCTGTTCCTGACAGCACTTCTGCATTTTACAAGAAAGGAATAATGCCATGTAAATAATTTAAAAACAATAAATCATTCAGAGTGGCTTTAAACCAAAATCTAATGCAGTAGCTGGCTGAGCACTTGCTACACTTGACAGGTACCTGGCGTGCAGAATTCATCTGTGTCTAGGAGGTATTTACTCCTAAATTCCACACAGGCAAAGAAGGCAGATGAAGAAGCCTGAGACCTCAAGCCTTGTCTAACGTCAGGGCCACCCTCTTACCACTTTGAAATGAAATGGAACATGGGAAAATCAAAGTCTATTTAGGATCCTTGTACTTCAAACAGAGATTTGCTGAGTTACGCTAGGCCAATGACTAATTAAGGCTGCCTCTCCTCGCGGAACTGGCTGAGCATCGGAGAGGGGGTATCTAACTTGCCCCGCGGCTGCATTCCCACCTCCTCCACCCCCACATCAGAGCTGGAGGAAAAGGACCGGAAAGGTTGGGAGCAGGGTGAGGAGCAGGGCTGACAGGTAGCCAGCTCCAGGAGGGCAACACTCTTTTCTCTCTGGTCATTTCTCCACGACAAAGCAGACAATGAAAAGCAAAGAACCATCGGAAAAAGCTTGTACTTAAGAAGGAAGGTAGGAGGACTTCCATTGTGCCGGAGGGAGCGTGGGGTTGCCAGCTGCTTCCGGACAATTGCGTTCCCACTGGGTGCCAAGCATGTCATTATCTCTTTTAATCCCCACAACAATTCTCTGAGGTAGGTATGATTATCCCCTTTTATAGATAAGGACAAAACCTAGAGTTAGATTAAGTAATTTGCCTGAGATCACCAGCGAGGGAGTGACTACCAGGATTAAGTGAATCCTTCTGACTCAGGCCACACTCCCAGCATCCTCACTCTACCCCCTCCCCCACAGGAGGACTTCTTTCCTAACTCTGAATTCACTTTTTTTTTTTTTTTTTTTTTTTACCCGCCATTTACAGTGGGGAACTCTTCTGGTGGCGAAAGAACCCGAAGACCAACAGTCTCAAAGGCCTCTGCTCCTCTTCCGGAAGGTATCTTACTAATTCTGTTCTTTCACTTACTGCCTAAGAAAGGGCGCTGGCCTGTCCCTTGACACAGGTTGACAGCACCATTTATTCCACACTGCTTCCATTTCCTAGAGTTGTCCCCACGCCGAGTTGTCAGGCACCTGGGAACCTTCCTATGAGGTTTCCCTTCAGGAAAGATAAAGTGTATGTTTGTTGTTTTTCCTTCCAAAATGCCAACATTTGAATACTTAGTTCCTCGATTAGTGGATCTCAGACTTTGGTCTGCCTAAGACTCACCTAAAGGACGTGCTCCCTAGTCAGTCCAAACAGTGCGATGCTTTGGCTCATCGTAGACATTAGCAAATGTTAGTCTATATGAATAATCTTCAGCATTTTGCGTATTTCCTTCACCAAAGTTGATCCTGGCATTTCAGACTTGACGCTTCTTCAATCTCAATTCACCACTAGCTGTTTCCTTGAATAAGTAAATTTAGGAAGAAAGTTATTACTTTTTTTTAATGTCTATTGGTTTGTACCATGTCAAAGAATGAAAGTCTAACACAACATGTGCCTACTCATGTCTACATGGCAGACTAAGCATTGTGGGTAATCTTGGGTGTGCCAGGTTTATAGAAAAGTGATACGTATTTAGAAAGTGCTTAAAGTTAAAAGCATTTGAAATGCTTCAAGGAAGAGAGGTTTATAAAAATTCCCCATTATCTGCTTATTGACACATGTTACACAAAACAATGGGTTTCATTATGAAGCCTTCATACATGTACATGATGTCCTTTGTCATGTTCATCTCACATTACCATCTGTTGCCCCTCTCTCCAGATTCATTTCTTGCCTTAAAGTCCGTTTGTGCTAAAGGCAGAAAAGCAGACCCAGAAAAGAAACTACTACTTGCTTTCTCTCATATGCAGGATCTAGATTTATTTTAAAGAAAGTCTATTCCTAGGAGAACCAAGGTCAAATGATGGCCTATACATGTAGTCTGCTGAACACTTGTTGGTGCTATTGGAAGCTCAGTGTTTATTAGTTGGCAGTTGCTGGTGAGGAGGCCTGGGAGTTGATTACAGAGGACTTTTGCCTTCTGTGGGACAAGACCATTACCGAAAGAACCTGATGGGTTTTGATCAATGGCCTGTGGTTCTCAAAGTGTATCCATCCTAGGACCAGCTAGTGCAGCAGCACCTGGGACCTTGTTGGAAATGCAAATTCTCTGGTCTCACCTCAGACTTACTCAATCGAAACCTGTGGGCAGGAGGCCTAGGAATCTGTCTCAGCAAGCCTTCCAGAGAGTTCTGGTAAGCATGGAAGTTGTTGAATATAGTTATATGACAACTTTTTAAACAGAAAGTATTCAAAGGTTACAAAGCAGGGCCAGAGAGACCAGAGGCTCAGCAGGTAAAGGTGTCTTCTGGACCCAGTGACTTGAGATCAGTTCCTGGGACCCACCTAGGAGAGAACTGATTTCCACAGCTGTTCTCTGACTTCTATTTGCACACCTCGCTACATGCATGCTTCCAAGCTCATAGTTGTGCAAGCTTGTGTTTGTGGGCATACACACAAACACACGCACACACACACATCCCACAATGTAAGTTTTAAAAATGTTAGAAACTAGCTTTTGACTCAATATTTTAGCTGTGAGACTGATCTACAATCCCTGTTAAGTCTAGCAGGTAGCTTTGCTCTAGTGAGCAGTGAGTCTCAACTCTGACTGCACAGCAGACCTCTGTGAGGGTGAGGGTACAAAGCAACAATAAAGCAAGGCTTGCTATCACACTCTAACATCAGCAGAGGCAGGTGGCTCTCTGTGAGTTTGAGCCTGGTCTACAGAGTCAGTTCCAGGACAATAATAAAACAACATTAACACCGTTAAGTATCAATTAACTATAGGACTTATGCTTCATTAGATGATTCTGTCACTGTGGGGACAGTACAGAGTATATGTATACCAACCTAGATGTTGTAGCCTACCACTACTAGATACATAGGAGTGGGGCTTGTGTGTGTGTGTGTGTGTGTGTGTGTGTGTGTGTGTGTGTGTGTGTATGTACATGCACATCTCTGTGGTATATCCTACTGATAATAGGCCTATGATGATCAGCCTTAGGGGAAATGAAACTGAAGACAAAAAATGATGCTATCAAGAGGGTTGAGGCTGCAGCTGCTAGAACATGCCGTACTATTTGAAAAGTTTCTGCATCCCGATAAGCCTCTCTGCCAATGCAGCAATCCAAATCAGATCAAATCAAACTGAATTAGAAAAAGCTAACATTTAATGATACAATGCTCCAGGGTGTCTTTCCAGCCCTCCAGAGAGGAGACAGGAAAGTGAGACAGGAAAACTACAATTCTATTTTCTGGGAGGTAGTTTAAATATCCTGTGGGAGTGGTCTTGATCATCTCTGTGGGGAGAGGTCATCATTTGGTTGGCTTTCTGAGATGCAGCTGGTTTGGAGAGAGATAGAGGAGGGAGCTTGGGGTGAGACTTCTACCACAACATTCCAGACTCTTTGGTATATGGATGCCAGGGGTTGGAAATGAAGCTTCTACCATAACACTATTTTATAGTACATTCTTTAAAAATAAGAGAACTCTTTTAAAAAGAAAATAAAAGTGTATTATAAATATATAAACCAATTAATGCACTTGCTTAGTCTTGTCATCAAATACTGCACCTTGTGCATGAGTGCCTCTGAAATCTTTTCATGCAAATAATAGCACAGTACATTTGTTTGCATGAGTGTTATCATAGCAGATGAGTGAAGTGTTGCGGACCAACCCTGTAACTGCTATGATGTCATAAGGAGGCCAGCCCCATTATAAACCATGAGACCACAATAGAAGTCATCTGTTATTGATCCTATTGCCATCAAGTGGTTCATACTATTCCAGGTCACTTCCTAGAGATTGCTGGTTCATAGTCTTAAGGTAGTACCCCAGGGGTCAACATTTCTCTGATACTCTGAGCTGACTGTATGGTTGAGAATCTGTGATGGCACTGACTTCCACAGATCAGGTTTGAGAATCACTGGTGAAGATGTTTATGAACTGGGGCATGTAACCAGATGTTTCTTTTCCAGTCGCCAGTTCCCGAATAACCACTCAGAGGCTTAATATTAATTACAACTGCTTGGCCTATTAGCTCAGGCTTATTATTGGCTAGCTCTTACATTTAAATTAACCTGTATTGCCAAGTTGCCTGTAGCTTACCGGTGATACTTGGACATCTTTCTCCTTTGGCAGCCGGAGGGCATCTTCCCCAAGCCCACCTTTTTTCTCACTGTATCTCTACTTGGATTTTTTGCCTAGCCATATTCTGCCCTGTCATAGGCCAGAGCAGCTTTATTCATCAACCAATAAAAGCCACACATATTCGCATTGTACAGAAGGACATCCCACATCAGAGGAGTCACACAATTCAAAGTGCTTGAGCAAACGTTAGAGCCCTTTTGTAAGGTACAATTTTATTAAGTACTGACAGGTGATTCTACCATCCAGCTGAGTCCTTGGGGTCTTGCCGGCTCTTGAAGCAATGTGTGAGTTTTCCAGACAATGAGGCCACTGTTAATGTGCCTGCCTTGGCTTGTTGTGTAGCCTTCATAGGACTGTTGGGCCCACACTTAAATACAGACATCTATTCTTAAATCAATCCCAAAGCTCCATTGGTAACTCTGCTCTGTGAAATGGCAGCGAGTAGTGAATGCATAGAGGCCTTTGAGTTTCAGGGTAAGAACACCAACACTGGAGAGCATGCCTTTCCTTAACAAGCTCCATGACTGGGACAAATAACATAAGCGTTTTGTACCTGTTCCCATATCTGTACGGTACAGTTTCCTCCCAGATTTGAAATAAAATCTGTGTTCCTAATTCCCTTTGTTCCAAATAAAGTAGCCACTGTGTGCTTATATAGTAAATGTACATGTGGAATACATACGTATATTGTGTATTAAGTAACTGATAGTTCATGGCATTGTAGATCTTGATCTTTGTGTCTTACTTCTTTAGCTTATTCGTTTATGAATGTTAATCTTCCCACTTTTCAGTAAGTAATGCTGATGTTCTACAGCAAACAGAAATGACCAGAATTACCTTTCCCCTGTGAGCCAAGAGGGCCCACTTCATCTCTCCCAATAGGAAAATCACAAAAGCCACCAGGTATAGTACAGTACTGCTAAAAGCAACTTTTCACGAGACAAATATGATTGCCAAACAAAGGTAAGATATTTCTCAAGTTTTCTTCTTTGTTCTACTGCTGGATTTCATGATCTGTTTTTATTATGAAGCCAAGTTAGAAGGGAAGGCCGAGGAGGACTTGGCTGAGGCACATTCTTTTCCTCTCACAAAGGTTGTTCCAGATACTGTGTGACTCTGAAAGGTACCATATGAAGCGTATCACACAATTATTACACGCCATTTATCATGTTGGTCTCAAATGCTGAGTTTGGAAACCATGCGAGGATCAGGTTCTAAGTGGAGTACTTAGGAAGAAGACAGATGCAGCCTCTATCTTTATTGCCCCTATGTGCTTTCCCTCTTACGTTTTGAGTTGTAAGTATTCTTTCTCTTACAGTATAAAAGGTTCCCTTGTCTCCTAGTTTGATATTTCTGATGTAAGCTCAAAGAGATCATTTCAAAGTTTCTTGGAAACTTTTATTCCTTTTTGAAAAAAGACTGATCAATAAATACCAATTTTCATTTATGTGACTTTAGCAAATGTTGATGCTCCTTTGTATGATATGCCTGCAGCCTCTGTAGCAGAGAATTCCTTTCTCTTTAGCCGAAGCATGGCCATACAGAGTTAATTAGCAAGTATGAGACCGGGAGAAGGAGATGTCAATCAGACAGAGGTGCACGGAACCCTTTAATTAGCATGAAATGGTAAGTGATGGTTCTCAGGGAAGATGGAAATTTGTCGTACTTCACCAAAAAATGCTTTACATATGGAGTTCAAATGCCAATTAGTAAACAGAGACTACATTACACCACTCTCATTTGGATCAATATACGTTTGTGAAGAATATTTTTTGGTTAGGAAAATTAAAATAATGGTGAAACAAACCATATTTAGAAATATTGCTTTCAGTTGTTGTAACATGAAGGGCAACCCAATTTATAAAATCACATTGTTCTCATCTCAGTAAAATATTAACATTAGTGAGGGTAAATTACTTTAGCTATTGCTAATCATTATTTTAAAAAGTTTATTTTATTTAATAATTTTCAACTTCTATATCATTTATATTTTCATGCATATTTGATATACATGTATATATTTTCATGCATATATTAGATATAAATGTATGTGTTACACACATCGTGCACTGATATTTCATGCTTATAAAGGAAGACTACCTTTTCATTGTGTAATCAATGGCAGAAAACCAGGTAGATGGATTAGGACATTGGGGTCATCTATGTGCAAAGACAACCATACTTATTTATTGACAACAAACCAAGGAGACCCCAGACTAACAAAAACACTTGCAAATCCCACTAGGAGTCCAATAAGAAGGCAACTGATTTTATTCAGTCAGAGAGATTGACAACTTTATGTTGAGACAAGTTCTTCAACTCTTTTATTTATTTATTAATTTATTTACTTTCTTTTCTTTTTTTTTTTTCAAGACAGGGTTTCTCTGTATTGTTTTGGAAGCTGTCATGGAACTCGCTCTGTAGACTAGGCTGGCCTCGAACTCACAGAGATCCACCTGCCTCTGCCTCCCAAGTTCTGGGATTAAAGGCGTGTGCCACCAACGCCCGGCATTATTTTTGGTTTTTCAAGACAGGGTTTCTGTATACCTTTGGAGGCTGTTTTGGAATTTGCTTTATGACTTAGTGACCTTGACCTCACAGAGATCTGCCTGCCTCTCCCTCCTAAGTGCTGGAGTTAAAGGTGTGGGCCACCACCGCCCAACTCTCCAATTCTTGAGTTGTGAAGTATTTAAAGAATACAGTAAGAGAATGGAAAGTAGTGACTTTGACAGTACAATTTGTACAGAATTTATGAGACTTAGGAAATTAAAGGTATAAGTGATTTCTCAGAATCTACTTCCTCTGATAGTCACTTATGTCTCCTGCTTGCCTTCCCCCTCATTTTGATGTTAAAAACAAAAATCTCAGGTGAGGAGAATGTCAAGCTAAGGGGTGAGGGAAGGGAACAGGAATGAGAAGGAAGGAGAAGATGTGTGTATCAGGAAAACCCTTCACCCATGCACCTTGAGGCTTTTTACCTCAATCCAGTAAATCTGACAACCAAGATTAGCAGCATCAATCACAGTCACTGAGCACTCCTCCCATGCCCTAGGTGCTAAGCTAAGCTATGTTGGTGACACAGCAATAAAGATGGTCATAACCAATCTTATTGTCCTAGTGCATCTGAAAAAGACACAGCCTAGACATAATCACAGCTGTTGAATTATTGTAGCCTTATTGTTTACCAAAGGTGGTGGATGTTATTGTCTTCCATCCGCAGAGCCAACCTGGGGGTAAAGTGCTAAGATAGAAAGTTAAAAGATAATCTCCATATGTCTGCATGTGTATATATGCTTCATATATAGTCAGAAATTATTAAAAACTTCAAATTTAGTGTTTCATTCATATCAATGGCAGGCATTATCAACAGACAGAATTCACAGTATATTCCTATTACATCTCAATTATAGCTAAAATAGGGAACATGTTACATATAAATTGTCTATATTTTCAGGGAATGAGGCTGAGACAAGGAATAGAATTCAAAGTCATTTTGAGAGCAATATACTATGCTAATTTTATATATATTTTCTTATTTGCCATTCTAAAACATCTCATAAAGTAGCCATTTTTATTATTCCCAGTTTTAAAAAAATAGGAAAACAGGCACAGCAGAGAGTATCACACAGTAACAGAAGGCAGATACATCTTTCAAATGCATACCATCCTGTTTAATAGCTGAGGTCTAGCTAGAGTTGATTTGAGCCCTGTCTCCTCTCTCTTTACCAATGTGGACATGCCAGCACTTCGAGGAGATTAAAATCCACAGTATTTAAGCACCACTTAAGGGGGCATGTTAGGATATGTCACTTGTAAATAAGCATTCTTGTGGTTTGCTTTGTTATGAATTAATGATAGCTCAAGATATCAGCTTTGCCAAATTTTAATATGCATTCAATAACTGTTTTTATAACAGCTGAAAGCTTGTTCTTAAAAATGTATGAGTAGATAATTATTAAAAATGTGAGCACAATCGTCCAAGTTATAAGACTAATTGCTTAAGCCTTCCATGTTCTTGCCTACACTCCCTTGAAAGAAAGCACACAGGGCAAAAGGTCAAAACACAGAGATGAAGCTGTAGTAGATCAATGTAGTCTTCCAGTGAGGACTCACACTCTCTGGAAGCTTCTCTACTCTGTTTCTCAGTCTCTCCATGCCTAACTTTCCTAACGTTTGTCTAAAATTCTTTATAAGAAACTATCCTAGTGGAGGAATGCCATGGCCATTCTCTATGAAACATGCCCTGGCTTCTTGAGGTCTTCAATTGAGGCCAAGAGGCTGCCCCTGAAGTCAGTACCCTCTGTGTTTTGTGAAACACCAACTCCTCAGCTGAGATGTTTAATGAGTGTCTCAGAAACACCACTCGAATGAAGACAACTGTTTCTGTGGATGATAGATGGACTTGGACAGAGACAGACAGACATGTTGAAAGCTTCATAGTATTCCCGGAATCACTTTATTATTCTTCATTAGTTTTTATGACTGTGCTACCAGACTTGTGCCAGATGCTGGTAGCTTTTAATAACAAAAAATTCAATATGTTGCAAAGCTGTTTCAGAAACTGTTTTCCATGTAGAGGAGAGAAGTTGCCTTGCACGACAAGTGCTTATATTTTATGCTGTAAGACATATGTAAGTTAAGATGTCAGGAGTGGGACGCGTGTGGGATGGGTTACAGTGGGAGTTGAAAGGGAAATGTCTATGGATATGATCATATTTTATCCCACGCATGTAGGACATTCTCAAATAATAGAAAATTATAATAGTGAAAAAGAATTGAGTAGAATTGAAAAGAATTGTGTGTGTGTGTGTGTGTGTGTGTGTACAAACTGACTGCCAATGGGATTTAATAAAGCCTTTCTATAAAGGCATTATCAAGTAAAATAATTTTACAAAGAAATGTGCCTCTTTTTCTTGAATCAAAGATGACTTAGTTGTGATTTGTTAAATAATAGTCTTCCTAGAATCATGACATTTGTTTTAGCAGAAAAGTATAAGTTACATATAAGTATAAATAAAGTCATCCAAGGAGGTAATTATATAGGATAGTTATATTAAGTAACAACAAGCAAAGGGAAGACAAAAGGATTGCTTTATCAGACATAATAATATATTAGTAAAATATTTTATTTGAGATGAAAAATACAGACAAATATCTAAGAAGTAAAATTGTCTTTATTTGAGATGGCATTGTAATATAAACACATGGTTATAACCAAGCCACTGTAAACTGCTTGAGCTAGTAAATCCAGCAAGATTGTGGCTACAAATTAAAATGTAAAATCAATTATAGTTCTAGACTCTTGCAACAAACAAGTCAAAAAGTTGAGAAAGCACTCTCACTCCTACTCAAGCTAAGAGTTAATTTTAACAAAGTTAGTGAGAAACTAGCACTTGGAAATTATGTAACATTCTGTACATGTGAATCAACATTCAGTTTGGCAAATGCTTTCCTAGATATGCTATTAGCATCAAAATTTAAGAAGATGAGTTTGAACTTGTAACAGTTTAAAATGTTCAAAGGATACTGTCAGAAAGCTAAGATACAGCTCCCAGAATGATACAATTTATTTGAAAACTGCATATCTGATAATGACTGTAGAATATCCTACAATTTAATGGCAAAATCAACACCTACCAAAGTTCTTGTCAGATTCTTTATAGACACTAATCATTGAATGAGTGTGGAGACTGGGTATAGACACTAATCACTGAATGAGTCTGGAGACTGGGCATAGACACTAATCACTGAATGAGTCTGGAGACTGGTTAATAAACACTAACTATTGAATTAGTGTGGAGACTGAGTATAGACACTAATTATTGAATGGGTCTGGAGACTGGAGGGAGCTACCAGCCAAAGCACTTTAGAAAAGAACATAGATTGATAATTTGTGCTTCTCCATTTGCAAAATAATGGTAACCACAATGGTCAATTACTTACATATGTGTGTATATGAAATATACTACATATCAACATATAAGTTATGTGTGAATGCATGTTACATATGAACAAGTGAATATATATCCGCATATCATGGGATCAAGAGCTCAGAAATAGACATATAATATGGTCAGTTGATTGATTTCTACTTTCCCTCTCTTCTTCTCATTACATTCCACCTCCATTCTCCTGTCTTGCCTCTCCTATTCTCTCTCCCCTTCTCCACTATCCTCTTCTCTTTTGACGCAAAGCTCAGGATAACTGTGGATGATGTTTCTACAGGTCTGTGCCACAAGATCCAATTCAACTGATGGTCAGTAAAACACCAAGACCATTCAAAGAGAAAGAAGTTCTCAACAAATATATCTTCGACAACTGGAAAGTCACTGCAAAAAAGAATGGTATTAGACAATACTACTTCTCATCCCAATGAAAAGTAGCCTGAGATGCTTAAAGAAACTGAATGTAAAAGATAGAAGTAAAAACCTTTTATATATGAACTGCAATTTTCAAGTTAGTGCTTTTTAGTTTCTCCATAGTTTTATCAAGACATGTGGATGGCATTGTGGGAGAAACATAATCCATGACTCATGTGCATGTACATCACATCCAGAGGTGGTTCCTGGAAGAATATGAAGGGAAGTGATAAAGGCAAATGCTCCACAATGAGAATTCTACTTACTATTCATTATTTCTTTCTAAAGACTTACAGTTTTCCCCTGTATTGAATTGGTTGTTTTGTTGTTTGTAATCAATAGACATTGTTTTCCAGCTTTTATTTAAAAAGTTAAAATTAAAAATATAAAAATATGCATCTGTTAGAATTAAACAAAATAAGACATCATCAGCACCTTGGACTTGGTGGCAGTTTCCTGACCATGTTCCTAAAGTGTTAGCATCAGAATTTAAAAAAGATTAAGTGGAACATTTCACAATTTTAGACTTTTGTACCTCAGGTGCTACTGTAGGGAAGTTAAAAGACAATTCTCAGAATGAGTCCATGTATTTGTAACTCATTTATCTGTTAAAGAGATTGTCCATGCTTTAACTCATCCCTTTAATCCCAGCACTCAAGAGGCAGAGGCAAGTGGATCTCTCTGAATGTGAGGTCAACCTGGTCTACATAGCTAGTTCTAGGACAGCCAAGCTACACAGAAAAATTATGTCTCAAAAAAATGAGAGGGGGAGAGGGAGAGAGAGAATGTAGTGTATGTAGAATATGGGATATTATAATTTAATAATCAGGACATATAAATGCAGTTAAAATGAACAAATACTATAAAAAGATATACTTATAACCAACAGAAATACAGAGCAGTTCACTGTTTATATTCACTGAGGACTTGCAATTCAAAACCACAGAGATAACCACTTCAGTTCACTAGGGAAGTCATAGTCAGAATGTCTGGCAGTAACTGAACAGAAATGAGAAGGAATCAAAACTCTTTTGCTCATAAGGTACAAATGCAAATCAGTGCAATGAGCTTGGAAAGAAGTATGCTAGTTCCTCAAGAAGTTAATATGGAGGACCATCTTATGCAGAATTCCTACTCCTGGGAATCTGTCAGGGAAAGTGAACAGACAGCCACACAAAACCTTGCTCAACATTCTTAGCAATGCCATTCATAAAAATTAAAATATGGAAATAAGTCAAATGCCTACCATCTGATGAGTCAGCAAATGTTTTTTTATGTATATAAGGGAATATATGAAACCATAGTATGAAATACTGATACATGCTACAACAAGGATGAATCTTTAAAATACACTAAGAAAATTTGGATTAAAAACCCATGTGAAATGGGTGGTGGTGGTGCATGCCTTTAATCCCAGCACCGGGGAGGCAGAGTCAGGTGGAGTTTGAATTCAGCCTGGTCTACAGAGTGAGTTCCAGGACAGCCAGGGCTATTACAGAGAAATCCTGTCTCTAACACCATCCCCCCAAACCCATATGATTGTATTTATACAAATGCTCAGAATAGGCAGATACACATAGGTGGAAAGTGGATGACTAGTTGGGTAAGGATGGGAATTCAGGCAGGTCGGGAAGAGACTAAAGGAGTGCTGAGTTTCTTCAGGGACTAATGAAATGTTTTGAAACTGATTCTGTTGGTGGGAAACATGAGAATACGCTAAAACCCATGATACACTGCATTCTAAATTTGCAAATTATAAGATACTTGAATTACACTTCAGTAATGTTATTGCTGCTAAGTATGTAATTGATGAAGCAGGATAGTTTCATCTATAGTTCTAGAATTAAGAATCCAGCCCTCGGCATGTCGGTTTGAGTTTGCTTGTGCAAATAAGCTGACATCATAGACTGCTTTTAGAAGGGAATTTCATTTGGTCTGGATGAAATATGTCCTGTTCACTTCTAAAATGCAGACGCATAAACTTCATTTGTCACTTACCAGCTTTATGAAGCTGATGGTTGGAAAGGTCAAAGGATGTGAAACAGGAGAATACATTCTTTGGCCTTTTTTTTTTCATTTTAAAACAGGTGCACTCAATCCGCAGAAACAGTTGGTGCAATCCTTAGATGCATTTTTTTTTTTGGTTTGTTGATATGTCAGTAGAAAAGACTATTTTCAGAATGTGTTCCCATCTAATGAATTATACATTTACAACTTATTATTCTTACCCAGCTATGAAAACAATCATAGGACATCTCACTAGAATCCTCAAGAGCTGGTGTGAAAGCCAATTCTGTTTGCCTCTTGTCTCCTTTTGCCTGTGAGCCTTTCCAGTTAATAAATCTGAAAAATGTATTAGTCACAGCGGTTTGGAGTCTGCTTTCCTAAAGCGGTGTTTTCAGGGCGCCCTTGTACTTCTGAACTAAAATTTCCCTGCTCCTCGCTATCTTTCACCCCGTGCCTTTCCAGACCTAAAATGTCAAAGTATCAAGCAGATGGAATTACAGTTGGAGCACTGGTTTGATGGAGAATGACTCCATGCTTTTAGCAAATGTGCACTTGTATTATTAAAATAAAAAAAAACCGACAACAGTGGACTATTAACAAAAGATTTGTTGAATTTGGTTTTCTGTCCTAAGTATTATATTTAGATAAAATATTGATGCAGTAAAATAAAATCAACTCTCTGTTGTAGAACCCAGGCAGTTTTAGTAAGCTTGAATTTATTATTATTATTATTAATTATTTTTAAGGTATGTTTTAGAGGAGGAAGATTTTGAGCCCATGTTTACCTTAGTACAGGATTTTTTGTTTGTTTGTTTAATTTGGCCAAAGATGCTGAAGTGTTTCCTCTAATCCTGCTCAATGTGAGAATGATGGTCTCACTGCCTGCTCTTCCTGCATCAAGCAGGGACATTTTGTTACCCATCTTAGAAGAAATGGCTCTGCAACTGCTTGCAGGCATACATGTTGCTGTGATGGACAGAGTGCATTCTTTAATCTTTTGTTTTTGTATCTTCACTTCACATTGCTGTGTGTAGATAGGGAGGGCATAGGATGTGTTCTGGAAAAGCAAGTGACCAGGCACAGGTCTCTAGGCTTCCATCGATGGCTCTGCCACTGACTCTCCTCCCTAGTACTTAATTCTGTATTTGTACTATTTCCTTCACTGAACAAATATTTTTCATTACATACTATACATATGATATTGTCTAGATGCCTGAGCTTGTTGGATCGTGGCTTCCTCATCTGTAAAATTAAATATGAAATATGAGTAGTAACTATGACAATTTATAGTGCTGATCTATTCTCCACAAATCCTCAAATCTGAATCTTTTCTTCATACTTGCACCATTTTCCCTATTATTCCTTCTGTCTGAGATGACTCATATTGTTGTATGGGGTTGATTAAACATTAAAGCTAAACTGTCTTAAACTTAACCATGCCATTTTTGTCCTTGTTCCTGCTCCTTTTCTTATTGTTTTCTCTTTCTCTTCTACAGTATTTGTGGTTGAATCAAGAGCCTCACACATGCTAGACAAGCACTTTGCCCTTAAACCTTATTCCAGCCCTCTTTTTACTTTTATTTGTTTGAGTCAGAATCCTATTAAGGTATTCAGGCTAGCCTTGGACTCTCTTCAAACCCTAGGCTGGCTTTTAACTCATTCTATAGCCTGAATTGACCTTGGACTCACTCTGTAGCCTAGGTTGGCCTTGACTTTGCCATTCTTTTGCATTGTCTTCCAAGTAGTTGGGATTAAAGGTCTATCCCACTCCTCACAGCTTGAACATGGTTTCAAGTAAACAGTGCATGTATGCATTGCATGCTTTTCTTCATTTGTATGTGTATGTTCTTAACATGATATCAAGATAATCAGTGGACATATAGCATTAGATGATTTATGATGTACTGGCATAATTCTATAGTGCTTGAAAATTCCTTCTAGTCTGCATAAAGGGTGATTTTTTATGTTGAAAAATAGATCTGATTATACAGATTATTATATTTATTATCCTTTGCAAGTGAAAGCAATGGCTATATACACATGGTTTCTGAGGTGTTCCAGTAGTCAGTTCTTGACTGCAGATGCAGGAACATCACTGGACATGAGCCATCCTGTAATGCTCCTCATGACAATGCTTATCCCTGCTTCAGCCTTGCTCAGAGCCAATACTCTTCCTTACAGTGGGAGCTGAATTCCAGAAGTAGCTCTTTCCTCTCCTCTACTCCCATTGGGAATGCAAGTGGCTAAAAGGACATACCTGCCTGAGCCTACATCTTTCCCTGTCAACAAGGTCTCTATGACCCTCATCATCACTGCAGGTGAATGTACCATGGCTGAGGGATGGCCAGAAAGGGAAAGAGGACAGGTGTGTGAACTACAGAGGGAAAAGAAGAGTGGACTCAGACTTGGAATCTGCCTTAACTGTTCATTATATCCTACATGTTTCTGTGAGTGCCCCCCACCCCATTATTGAAGGAACAAAGAAAGACACAAGATTTATCCATAAATCCTAAGCAAAATATTTTAGTTTAGTTCAAATCAACCTTGGATTCCCTCCACCCCTTCTTTATGTATCCTTCCATCTGATTAGAGTTTAACGCTACATCACATCATGTTCTTATGTTTAGTTCTGGTTGCTTCTAATCCCCAACTTCCACAGGGTATTTTACCTAGCCTATGAACCTGTTCTGGGATCCTTCTTATCCCTTTTCTCTCTTTATAATCCAAATCGACAGGAATCCCATGTGTTTCAAGAAGTGCTGTGCTGATGTAAGTAACTTAATTAATTGATCATATTTTTGATGGTCCATTTTCTAACTCAAATGCCCTTTCTTACAGATAACCAGAGGCTTAATCATATTTACATACAACTTTGCTGCTCAAAATGTAATCAACAGGAAAACAGCTCCCATACTTAGACAGAAATGACTGCTCGGATTTTAGGGAGGTTCATCTATGAGGCAATCTTGATCCTGCCCACTCTGTTTGAATTTCTCTCATTCTGATTCCAGTTGCACTGTTCCAGTTACCTTCACCACAGAGTACAAAATCCTTCTCCTCTACCAAGAAGGCCAACATTTTAAAATACTCCTCCCCCTTTCCTATTTACTAAAGTCAACAAGAGGGAGATTAACAGATGAGAAGCATCACAGAAGCCTTGCTCGATGGTACTGTTGAAATCGTCAGAAACCCGAGTTTTCAGTAATCATTTAAGACAACAATTATTTCAGTAGGAATAGCTAGGAGTAGGGGCTAGAAGAGTTCAGATTCAAAACAACAAAGTTATTTTAAGGAGCAACACTAATGATCCTTGGCTGGAACTCCAGGTAGGCTGCCAGGGGAGCTTTTGGTTGGCAGGCTTGATGCCCTTCAAACCATACCATATTATGACTTGCACCTGTGGGAAATGCTGATCCTGTAGAGAACCTGAGGCAAAGGAGAAATGGGGCTGGATGTTGCACTCCAGTTGGACACACTCAGACAGGAGCACCACCCACAGGAAGCCAGGCTAAACGCATTTCTCAGAGAGAAGTGAAGCAGAACAGCCTATGGCTAAGACATCCATCCAAGGTCAGAAGAGACAACAGTCAAGGTGGTCTGGGAAAAAGGTCAGATCAGCACTGTAGCAAAGGCAGAGTTTGTAAGTGATAGGTTAGAAACTGCTTGGGGGTAAGCC